TGCCCACCCTCCCAGCCAGCAATTCCTTCCCAATCTCCCATCTGTCCCTGCCCTCTGGCAGTGGGAAGCCATTCCCTGTGTCCTGTCCCTCCATGCCTTGTCCCCAGTCCCTCTCCAGCTCTCCTGGAGCCCCTTTAGGCCCTGCAAGGGGCTCTCAGGTGTCCCTGGATCCTTCTCTTCTCCAGGTGATCCCCCCCAGCTGTCCCAGCCTGGCTCCAGAGCAGAGGGATCCAGCCCTGGAGCATCTCTGTGACCTCCTCTGGACTGTCTCCAGCAGCTCCACAAGGACTGTGACCCTGCCCCAACCCCAACAATCAGGCAATTCCAACACTGAAACTTTGCTTGAGATCATCCACTGGGCAATTAAACACAGCAAAGGAACAAACAGGGGAACAAGGATGGGCAGGAAAATTCTGGAGCCTCCCAGACGGGGGAGAAAAGTTGAATTAACCCCCAAACAGCCCAGCCTGACCCAGATTATTTCCTGATGGCTTGACATTCTCTGGCGCCAACATCCCTAGGATTCAACCACTGGAAATCAGGAATTTCATTGTTTAAATAAGGAAATTTCAAACTCAGGGGATCATACGAAAACTCTACAAAAATTCTATGAAATTCTGTGAGAATTCTATGAGAAAGTCTATACAAATTCAACAGAATTCTATGAAGCTGCTACGAAAAATTCTGTAACAAATTTTTAATAATTTTTTTTAAAAGAAATTCTACGAGAAAAATCTACAAAAAAAAAATCCGCGCAAAATTCTGCGAAAAGTTCTATGAAAATGTTACCAAAGCTCGGTAAAATTCTACAAAAAATCCTGCGAAAAATTCTGTGAAAAATCCACAGAAAATGCCATCAAAGCTCCATAAAATTCTACAAAAAATTCAGTGAGAAATTCTGCGAAAAATCCACAGAAAATGCCATCAAAGCTCCATAAAATTCTACCAAAAAAATCCACGAAAATTCTACGAAAATCTATGAATCACCTTAAAAACAAATATTTCAGAAAACTATGATGCAAATGGCATCATTTTCACGTCTTGGAAGAGGGGCCGAACCTTCCCCCCTTGCCGACAGCAGCGACCGCATCGACAACCGGGAGATCCGGCCTCTTGAACTCGTCCGAAACTATTTATTAGCAATAATAACTAAGAACAAAACTACCAGTGACTAATGGCAACTGCTAAGAACTAAGGAGGGCTAAGCAGGACTAAGAGACCCCGCAGGGCCGCGGCGTTTTTGAGGTGTTCCCAAAAACTGGAAGTTTTTGGGAACACCTCAAAAGCGCCGCGACCCTGCGCCCGCCGTTTCGTACCAACCTCCCCCTTCCCCTACAGGAAATAGTCCGTGGGGCTGTAGTAAACCTTCCTAAAGACTTCCAGGCGGGAGTAGTTGCGGAGGATCCAGGTCTGCAGGGGGCTGCCGTCGCACGCCTCCACCGTGGGGCCGTGGGAGCCGCCCTCGACGCGGCCCAGGGTCAGGCACGACTGGGTGATGATGTGAAGGAAGGTGTGGGTCTGTAAGGACGGGGGAAGGATGTGGGGCAAAAGGTCAGCCAGAGTCGAGGATGAGCAGAGGGAGAGGGGGGAGGGGAAAAAGCTGGGAGAGGTCCTGCGGGAGGGGCTGGTGGGAACACACAGGGATATCCACAGACCAAATTTCAGCTTCACACTGAACTCCTGAGGGGCATTTGCTTCACATCCCCATGATCCAGAGCTGAGGGTGCCTCTGGATCCACCCCTCCTCCTCCAATTCCCACTGCCCAGCAGGATCTGGGGGGAGATGAAGTTCCCCCTTCATCTCTCTACTAAATATCTCTACTAACTATCTCTACTATCTCTACTAACTATCTCTACTATCTCTACTAACTATCTCTACTAACATCTCTCTACTAACATCTCTCTACTAACATCTCTCTACTATCTCTACTAACATCTCTCTACTAACATCTCTCTACTATCTCTACTAACATCTCTCTACTAACTATCTCTACTAACATCTAACTATCTCTACTAACATCTCTCTACTAACTATCTCTACTATCTATCTCTACTAACTATCTCTACTAACATCTCTCTACTAACATCTCTCTACTAACTATCTCTACTAACATCTCTCTACTAACATCTCTCTACTAACTATCTCTACTAACTATCTCTACTATCTCTACTAACTGTCTCTACTAACATCTCTCTACTATCTCTACTAACATCTCTACTAACATCTCTCTACTAACATCTCTCTACTATCTCTACTAACTATCTCTACTAACATCTCTCTACTAACATCTCTCTACTATCTCTACTAACTATCTCTACTAACATCTCTCTACCATCTCTAATAACATCTCTCTACTAACTATCTCTACTAACATCTCTCTACTAACATCTCTCACTAACACCCTGCACCAAACCACCCTGGAGCCCATCTGAGAGTCACCAAAACAAAACCACGCACTGAATTAAACATTTACACATCAGATAGGGATTTTCTCCCCCAAATACCCTTCCAGCTCTTCCTGCCAGCCCCAGGTGGGTTGGGATGGAGGGGAGCTCCTACCCCCCTAAATTCTGCCCGTCACTGCAGGTTCCTCAGGGCTGGTGCTGCCAGGATGCTCCTCCTGCCCCTTCCCCTCTCCATGTTTTTGGCTCGGTAAGGGAAAAAGTGATGTGAGTATAAAGAGGGCACTAAAAATATCAAGGACAAGTGTCCTTATAATGCCACTTCGAGTGAGCGTCACTGTTGGGTTTGTTCCATTATGTATCACTGCTCCCTGGGCCT